CCCCGCTGCTTAGCATGTCTGTGTTCCCTAGAGGCTTCCTGACGTTTGCTATGGCTCTCTTAACTTCCTCATCCCACCAACTTTTGGGTTTGTGTCTTCTTTTCCGGGGTGATTTGTCACGCGTCTTAACAAGCTCTAGCTCAAAGAGTCTAATTAGATTCGTGTATGTCCACACTGTCTTGTTATCCTCCGTGATTACTTTCTCAATTTGTTTAGTGGCTATTTCAATTTGCCTTTCTGGATAAAAATTTTCTTGTAGTTGCTCATCTTGTCTCCTTCCCACTTTCACTGCTCTTCCAAAACTTAGCTTGATACGTTTGTGATCGCTACCCAGACTTCTGGAGCCACCTTCATCTATGTGCATTCCCCTGAGCTTATCATACATCCTATGTGACATCAGTGCATAATCTATCGTCGACTGAAGCCTTCCTACCTCCCATGTTATTTGCCCTTCACACTTCTCGGTAGTGTTGCAAATGATCAAATCAAGCCTTTCACACATATCCATGATAATTTTGCCTGTCGGGTCGGTATACCCATCTATATCTTCTATGTGCGCATTCATGTCTCCTAGTATAATTATCTCGCACTCTCTTCCTAACCCCTGAATGTCCTTTGATATACACTCTACCATTGCCTGGTTTTCTTCTCTGGCCTTTGCTCCCGTCCACAAGTACACAAAACCAAGGAGTGTCATTTGACCTGCCACTTTCCCTTTTAGCCATAAATGTTCCTTGCACTCCTGCTTGACCCTTTGCCAGTCTGTACTTTTATGAATGAATGCCCCAATACCACCCCCCTTTCTGCTGCCTTCTGTTCTGTTACAATATTCCCACGCGTAGTCCGGATTGTTCGGAGGTTGTTCCATCTCCCTGAGATGTGTTTCTACAAAACCGTATACCATCGGCCTCTCTTCCCTTAGCTGTTCTTCTATCTCTTCCCACTTCAGCCTGTTCCTACCACCCTGCATGTTAATATACCCTATGTCTGAATTGGCTCGGCGCTCGTGGCTACGTCTATTTATGCCCCGGACTCTACCTATCTTAGATATTGGTGCCACTTTGGAATCGTATCTGTCCATACCAGCTGTCGAAGAGTCTCCCTGGTTGTTTTCCTCGTTACTAGCTATCCTGCACCCCGAAGGGCTCGCTTGCCCCCCAAAAAAGCTACTGCGCGTCCTGCAAGTCGCCAACCCACCTCATGACCTAGCCGCCCATCGAAGTGAATTCTGTCTCGTTGAAAACCCCCCCACCTATGCACCTCTCTGTTTATTTCCACCACCTCAAAGCCTTTCTCTCGACTCATCCGCCATATCTCTTGGTTTGCGTTGACCACCGCTCTTTGCAGGTTGCTATCACGCACCGGTACCTCCGGTATCGTGCATATAACTACCTGTACCTTAGGAGAAGTGGCGCGCATGTCATCGACGCCTTTCGCCAGTGTGGCTGCTAGTCCTTCTGCATCTTCATTGAGGACATCGTTTAAATCGCCTGAAATTATCACGAGGTTTCGTCTATCAGCTGTCGTTTTGAGCTTTGCGCTCGCTTGCCTCATGACTGCTTCCAGCTTGCGTCCTGGGAACGCCCCTACCGCAACCCTCTTGTCACCTCTTACCCTCTATTTGATGGCTTCTGTGCATCGATTTAAATTCGAGTCCCCGGCTATTATCACATGCTGTGACTTTTCAGCTGGAGCGTTCTGCACCTGGGGGCTACTTGCACCTGTGACGCCGGCTGCTTTGTTCCCTTCCTGCCCCACCACTACCTCGCTGAAGCTGGGCCTTGCGACAGTTGAACCGGCTAAACCTGTTTTTTCCAAGCTTGCTTGCTTTTCCTTCTCCACCGTTCTCGTTGCCGGTTCCTTACTGTTCTCTCGGTAGGTCGCTTCTTTGTTCAGCTTCGCTAGCGCTTCCTCGGCGGACTTCAGTCTTTCTCCCATTGCCCTCGTTTTTTTCTGCTCTGTCGCCACCGCAGTCTCGAGCTCGGCGATTCTCCTCAGCAGTTCACTCTGGGCAACCATCATTTTCTCCATTTTTTCCTCGACCTCACATTGCCTACACTTCGCGCCAGCTTCTTCTCCATCCGCTTCTACGCTTGGGTCCACTTTCAAACCCACTCCACATCCTGAACACTTTACGGTCTTTTTAACCATACCTTTCTGACACCAATTGTCCCTATAATCAATAATTACTAAACTCGAGCCCTGCACTTCGAAGAAAAAAAAAGGAAAGTCTAAGCTCTACTACAAAAATTTGCGTGTTCAATGTACGCGCACCTCCCCCACGGGGTGGCAAAAAAACAAAAAAATTTCAAACACATACACCCGCACTAACTAATAAATACCTGGTGTCTGGCCCCCGAAAAAGCCGTACCATAAAATAAGTACTACGAAGATTTCAACCGCTGCCTTATAATTATAAAGACAAGCTCAAACAGAGCTACTGCTGGCAATGACTGAGCTACTGCTGGCAATGACTGACGCACCCACATATAATGCGCATATAAAGCCCATAAAGTGGACCTGATGGTAGCCGCCGTTGTAGCTCAGCTGGTAGAGCATCGGATGCGTTATTAGAAGGTCGGAGATTTGGTCCCTGCCCACGGAAAATTATCTTTTCGCCCACTTTTCTTTCATCGCATGTATATTGCAATTGCTTCTAATTTCATCCTTTATACTTTCCTTGGCATGATTGTCTGTTAAATCTCATAATTCTTTATTGTGAAGTCCTTCATGTTCGCTTTTGGTGTAAGAAAGATTCGATTCCTGGTTAGAATAGCATTGCTAGTTATTCTGGCTATGTTTCTTCGGAGCAATGAAAAATAATACATCTCACGAAGCTCACGGAAAGCACCCCGTCAAACAACTCCTCGTTCATGATAGTGCCATCAACAAAGGGATAAAACGCATTAGTACACCGTGAACTCGAATGAAGACATACTTATAAGGCAGAAAGTTCAGTTTGTCCAAACCTGAATGCATCTGCTATCTGTTATGTCTTAGTTACTAGTGACACTATGGGCTAAAATTTTTTTTGCTGTTCACAATTGTGTACAAAGTGTCTCAAAGGGCTAACCACAATACCATTATAAGGCTCGTTGGTGACAGCTGGTTAATTTTTACAACCCGGGGTCTTCAATGTGTAGCGAAATCTATGCACATTGATTTTCTTGCACGGCGCCCACGTGAAAATTTGGCCACCTTAGCAGATAATTCAACTCTCTTACTGTAGTAATGCAGCGCACCGTCACGACTGATTAGCTAACGTGAGTTCAATCAAGCGTTTCTATTATGATTGATGATGCTTCGAAAACCTCGCAAAAATAAAATAATTCGGCTTTCAAACGCCAACTGGAAGCAGCTGGTAGTATTCATAATAAGCTTTGAGGCATTGCAGTGAGATAGTGTAACCGGGCTGATAAAAAACCTAATACACGAAGTTGAATGTGCTCACTGAGGCATGCTTGTACATACATCGGTGGTGATTCAAGGCCCAAAAGCTCACTCACATGCTTTCCACATTGTAGCATCAAGATTAATGTGTGAAACCGTGAAGATACAAAGGAAAAGAGAAGGATAGCGAGGGAACTTGTTTAGTTTGACTTTTGAAAGTTTTGAAGGGGTTGTTCTCGGGGACTTGCTTCAGTCTATTCATCTCCAAGGGACTATATAATGTCATTTGTTCTAGCTGAAAGCCCAGCTGGTGTAAGCGCTCACACTTTCAGAAAACACCAGTGAAATTGTGTGCGCTGACCAATGTTTTTACTGTTAGTTTTATGCATCGAATGAATATACAGGGTGCCCCAGCTATCTTTAGCCACAGTTTAAAAATATGCCGACACACACAATCACCACGCGACCAAATGCATGTTGCTGACCGTTATCTGGAGTTAATCAGACTAATTTTTATGTTATAAAGTATTGTTTAATCAGGTCTGTTCAATTAACTAACTGCTCAGGGAACGAAGATGGATGAAAATTTCAATGAGAAAGTTTGTAGAACGGTTTGCAAAACGTCTAATTTGACAGTTTCGAACCTAATATATGTTAATTATTAAAATTTTTCTGCTAACTACAAATGGCTGCGAAATAAAAAAAAACTAAGTAGTATATATCGTGACAAACCCACTGGTGGGCCTATGCGCACCGGGATTCTGGTGCTCCCTAAGGTTCCACGGACGAACGATACGCTTCCCTCAATCCGGTTCAAGACAGCGATAAGCAGTCACAGTGGTTATAGTTTTTTGTGCTCGATAGCGAAACGTGTTCATCGCAACGCCACGACCATCGTTGCGGCGCTGTCGAGACAGCATGATCGGGTGAACGCTGTAGTCGTTCGTATGCAGAACGTTAGGGAGCACTAGAATCAGCCTGCGCACTGGCGCGCGAGCGGGTTTGTCACGCGTTTTTTTTTTTTTGCATTTCGCGGGCATTTGACGTTAGCAGAAAAACGCTCATTATTAACAGATATAAAGCTCGAAACTGTCTAATCGGATGTTTTGTAAACCAATCTACAACTTTGTCATTGAATTTTTTTGTTTATCTTTGTTCTTTGAAAAGTAAGGCAAATAAGCAGATCTATTTAAACAATATTTTAGAACGAGAAAAACAGTCTGATTAACAACAGTAAGCAACATGCATTTGGTCGCGTCAAAATTGCGTGTTTTAGAATATTTTGAAACTCTGGCTAAAGATAGCTGGGCATTCTGTATAATTTGGGAATTACGTTTTTTTAGTTGCTCTTCGTTTCCTCAAAGTAAGAAAGCAACGCGGGTAATATGAGGTGTTCGCCAAATGCCAACAGGTGTTGCTACAGGGCGTCGAATAACGTTAACTCTTCTATACGAAAACAATAGAAGTGCGTAGTGCAATAGTGTGCTTTCCCCCACTTTCAACTTTGTTTGACTTGGTCAGTGCTACCCCTACCACCTTCTATTCATACCCTATTGGATTGCTGTTGTTCGCAATTCCTGAGTTACACATTCCTGGTGCGCTAACTGCAGGCAAAAGCTGAGGAACTCGTCCAAGGCGGTCGTTGTCCAACGATGGTGCACGCGCATTTGGTGGCTGAGCTGATCGACATGAGCTTCGATGAAGAGGACGCCATCCTGGCTGCGGAACAGTGTGAAAGCATCTACCACGCTGTCAACTTTTTGCAGCAGGAGTGTGAGCTATGCGCGGCTAACTACCCCATCAGTCAGGTCAGCAACCCGTTCTTTGCTACCGTAGGGGAACTTGTACAAAGAAAAAAGCAAAAAAAAAAAGCCTGCCCTCTGACCTATACATGGGATACAAAAGGACAGCTATTTCTTTATATTAAACAATTTTTATTTTGAGATTGTTTGAGCTCACAAGACGTCACTGTGGGCGACAAAGTGAGTGGGCTGGGAGTGTTTTACCCATTGGTGCTGTCAGTTACATTTACCCTTACTCGTTACAATGCAGGGGGAACTAAACGTAAACTGTGATGGTATTGTACCGTAGGCGGCGACGACCTTCAGTTACTCTTCTCCCGCCTGCTATATTGTACTGTCAACTAAGCCTAATGATAATAACAAATAGAGTTATATTCTCATGATGAATGTTTGTGGTGTGCGATTCAAATTTCTAGCTTTCATATTTCGCCTAAAATCAGTAGAGGAAGTTTTGCAAATCATAAAATAACACGGATGTATTTTGGTGGAATCGTCAGTCTTAGTATTGTTGGACTTGCTGCACTGTAGTTGTTTTTTTTTCAAGAAAGATCAAATCGCTATGATAAACTCTTAAACATTGGCGTCACCGCACAAAAGCATGATGGTTGGTATATGACTGCGGCAAGGATGTTATGTTAACCCATACACCAACATCTTCTCACACCTTCGTTTGAAAGCAAGCACTAAGATACATCGATGCATGCGGTGAGAAGCCTGAGAATAAAGTCGGACACGAAGGAACCTCCGCCCTGTATTGTCATGAATCGCTAGAGCATTTCTAACTACGACGTCGACAGCACTTACTGAAACGTCAGAACGTTTACAGACAGCCCGACGAAGGTGTCCAACTGACGAGGATGCACCGCGAACGTCAATGAGCAGTTCCACTTTTTCTTTTTTTGCTTGGGATATTGTTACAGTATGTTCAATGCAACAATAGCTTCTCTAGTACGCTATCGTAGGTACCCACGTATGCTGCAGAATACACAACCATACCCAGTTTGAAATTTTGGCATTATTCGTCTTCATAGGCTCGGGAAGATCTATTTTTGAGAATTGCGACAGGAGTATCTTTGCTCCCGTGCATGATATTCTCGCGGGGTCAACTAAATCTGAAACCTAAATTCAAAATATAAACTTCATTTTACAGCGCACCAAGCACTCTATACTGCTTTCTTCTGTTTTCTTTGTCCTAATGTACATTTTCATAACGCGTTTTTTTGTATCCAGGCACATGCAGGCTAACCGACATGTGCTTAAAAGAATTAAAAATTTCGGCCGCACTGTTGAAATCGATAATATGCTATACAGTCCGTGAGCGCCTATCTATCCCGCATTGTTCGACTTTCAAACTACGTGGTACGTCGACTGCATTGTAACGGTTACCACGCACGTCGTCGGCAATGCCATAAAGCCTAAAATATAGTTTATACATAGTCCTAAATAACGCCAGGGCTGATGTTCGATCGCAGATGCCTGTTTTATAGAGGAGACGTGCACACTACAGCCCGTTCACGTTCTTACCACAAGCAGTGTTCATGGACGCATTCCGGAGGTGTCAAGTAACGCTAGACAATAAATAGCAGAGCTGTAATACAAAATACATATGTACTACTTATTGCCTCATTTTGAGACTTGATAGTCAACACTACGCTACTGTAGCCAGCATTACGCAACAGTACCCTACAGCTAACCAACATTAGCAAGTACAACCAACGTTAGCTCGCACTAGCCAACATCAGCCACCACTAGCCGAAATTAATGTTGGTTGTGCACGAGTGATAATGATACCCTACATGAAATTCGATCATTACCACATGTTCTTCCCGTGCATGCATGCATGGATGCACATCTGTATTTTCCGAAAAATTAAAACATGGCATGTCTCAATAAATGCATTAAAACCACTATCCTGTACATGTATTGTAGCCAGTATTTTGACTGATTTGGGGGGGGGGGGGGTTCAATGTCCCAAAACCACCATATGGTAATGAGAAACGCCGTAGTGGAGAGCTCCAGAAATTTCGACCACCTGTGCGCCCAAATCTTAGCACACAGGCCTACAGCATTTTCACCTCCATTGAAAATGCAGCCGTCAAGCCGGGATTTGATCCCGCGACCTGCGGGTCCGCAGCCGCGTACCTTAGTCACTAGACACTGTGGCGGGGCAGACGCTGTCTTATAAGTGTATGTTGGCACGATTTTGTTAACCGCACCCCTTATGTGATACCTCTTTGCAAGGTCTTTAAAGAAAATAAAGTGAAGCTCTTTGACTAGCTTGTGTAACACTGTCCGTGTCTCCATGCCAACACGCTGCACCGCGCTCCCACCCCGCCACGGTGGTCTAGTGGCTAAGGTACTCGGCTGCTGACCCGCAGGTCGCTGGTTCGAATCCCGGCGGCGGCGGCTTCATTTCCGATGGAGGCGGAAATGTTGTAGGCCCGTGTGCTCAGATTTGGGTGCACGTTAAAGAACCCCAGGTGGTCGAAATTTCCAGAGCCCTCCACTACGGCGTCTCTCATAATCATATGGTGGTTTGGGGACGTTAAACCCTCTTATAAATCAAGGGAAAAAAGTCGTCGTTAGTCTTATAGCGAGAACACACAATACTGAGAAACGAGGACGTCGATAAGGAACACGTCAGCTATACATCGGGTGCCGGCCGTTCAAAATCAAAAGGCGATGCCCCCGAATTCACATAGTAGATGAAATCATCGCTGAACTTATCACTGATAAGCTCAGAAGGGTTGGAACAGTTTGATTATGTATCGGATGACATTACCACATTGCTTATCGCGTGCTAGAAGAAACACTCGCGCTATACACGTCACCCTGGCCAGCCGTAGTGACGTGTATATAGTATTTCGTGACGCGATCGCAAACCCAGCAAATGGCTGCTGCATAATTAGGGTTCATTTTTGACAGGTTTTTTATAGCTTATTTAAAATTATTGACAGATTTCTCAGCAAAATGCACCACCCTTGCTATTACAGGCCTGTTATTGTTATTTGAAAGTGGCATTACCTCACGGTCAAAAATGCACCGAGGTACCCCTCTAAAGAACATCTATGAATACAGAATAAAACCACGTGACTGCACTCATGCATAGCCGCATTGCAGCGCTCTCAATCATGCTTCAAGTGAAAAAAAGTTTTGTGCTCGTAAGCATTCTTTATCAGAAGCAAGAGCGTTTCATTACTGTGCGCCTCCGTTAAAAATGCTGATGCGCTTTGAAGCGGGTTCTTAGAGCCGTGGCCGATTATTTCTCCATGGTTCACGCGCACGCTTTTTTCGCTCGAAGCACGGTCGAGAGCTCTGCAATACTTTATTTAGCACATGAGTGCAATCGCGTGGTTTTATTCAATATTTTGCGGGTTTTTTTAAACACTTAAAAATTACCGTTCAAGATTATGCATTGCCAGACAAAAAATAGATTGGTCACTTTAAAATGCTCCCCCCAGCGTAACAAAACGCACTTGGCCCTCAAAGTAAATAGTGGGAATTTTGCTTCGTGCATCTTAGTAAAATAAAAAATTAAGCCAATAAAAAGAATACTCTGAGACCGCCATTAGACCAGAGGTGGTGGCAGGATTTTTTTGGAGGCACCCACAACAAATGAGTTGCTTCAGGGGGCAGGGAGGCTGGTAAAATATCCGTTGTGTTTTCACTGTGATTGCTCTTAGAGGGGCAAAAGGGGACAGGCGGAAATTTTTGCAGGCTCCAGCCTCCCCACCTCACTAGCACCGCTGCTGCATATTACGGAAAGCCTTTGACATCATTGTTGTGTTTGACCAACTAATAAAATGTCACAGCGTTGCCACAAAGGCGAAGTAATGAATGCCATAGCAACAAATTGAAATGTCACACGAAGAATGGCTAGCAGGTCGAAACGTGCCCCACGTTGCCGAAGTACAAATGACACACGAAACGTACTCACGGGAACAGATGAACGCGAATAAGTGTCTCAGATGTTACTTCGCTGTGTCTGAAAAGCACGCCCTTTTCGCAGACGGAGACTGTGCAGCAAGTGCATTGACTTTTGTGCGCCTGGTAACTACAACAGAATCGTTCCGGTGAAAGCCCAAGCGTACGATTCTATCCACATCGAAATAAGCGCGCGCACGCGTGAGTCCAACTCACACCATCTGTGGGGCAAAGCACACGTGGGAGACGAACCCACGAGTGCACTTTGCCACGTCGTGATGATCTGGCGACGCGTGCTTATTGTGCCATGTCGCTGATAACGCTGAAAACACGATAGTTACCCGAGAACGGCATCGCCAACAGTAAGTAGTAGATATAAATAGCTTGTCGTTTCAACATTACAGGAGGTTCTCCTTCCAGGCTCTGTGGCTAACGCCACGCGCTCACAAGGAAGAGGTTGGACGTTGGATTTGCGCCGGAGTCTTTTTTTGAATTATTACTTGCGTTTTCCTATATATATATATATATATACATAGATACGTATTCGTATAGACCCTTTCACTGTTTACTAACACAGGCCCTTGATGGCATCCGGTTTTGTCCACCAATGTGCTTTAATAGCACTGGTAGGCAAGAAGAGATTTAGAAAATAGCCCGCTGATTTTCTGCAGTTTCTTTCACTCATTCGGCAAAATATTTTCAAATAAATGTCTTTTTGAGCTACATAAAAATTATTGAAATATTTCCTTTATTCTTACGCACCTTCTTTTTATCTAAAAAACTACAGAGATCTTTTCTTTACTCTCGAGAGAAACTTGAAAACGTGCCGTCATTTTCACCGTTCAGGAGCTGGTAAATGAAGTGATCGGAAGTTTTTTGGGGTACAACGCTTACGATCTTAAAACCATCTATACGGTGTATGATGACGGTAGTCGACGCCGACACCAGCAGAAAAATTCAGCCGAGAGTGTCCATATAATTGCTGTCGCAAAGAAAGATCCTTGGTTCTTGTTACGTGAAACGTGTTGCGTTTTCAGTGTTAAACAGAGCCTTTTCGGCTTCGCACATAGATTGACGTATAG